CTTCAGGGGGCACCTACACTGAACACTGTCCCAACATTTTCTACTGGAGTTCGTCCTGGACGATATCTCGCTGCTGAGGGTGACCTGGGAAGCAAGGGAGGGTCTTCTACTGCAATGCGGCTTCCGCCCTGGCCCATATGCAGCAATGGTCCCCCCGCCCCTTGCGGCACAGTGGCGCGGACACGTTAGCCTGGCTGGGACAAGGACCAGGGTGGCTCTCCCGATAAACCTGCGCAGGCGCATTGCACACGTTCTGGATGAGACATTGGAGGAGATTACCGAGGCCGATTACCGCGATGTGATAAACCACATCAATGCACTATTCCGCATCTAGGCATGCATGCCTAACCCTCCTCTCCCAAAGAGCCCGCACCGAAAAAATTCCTTCCCAAAAAAAACCCCGCTTACTGGGAACCTGCTCTTCTGTTTGTCCTCTACCAAGTACCGGCCGCTGCGACTGGCTACCTTCCTCCTGGCTCGAGAAGAGCTCCTGGCTGCATGGCTCCAGGGATTCCAGGGTGTCTTCATCTGGCCCACCACCATCACTCCCGTTTTCCTCCTCCTCCTCCTGTTCCTCCCCCCACCCCCCGGCTCTGAAGTGTCCATGGTGGTGCTCAGAGTGGAGGTGGGGTTAACCCCAAGTATCACATCCAGCTCTTTGTAGAATCGGCAGGTCACGGGGGGAGCACCCGAGCGGCCGTTTGCATCGCGGGTTTTGCGGTAGGCACTCCGCAGCTCCTTCACTTTAATCCTGCACTGCAGGCCGTCCCGGTCATGGCTTCTTTCCATCATGTCCTTTGATACCTTCCCAAAGGTATCGTAATTCCTACGGCTGGAGCGCAGCTGGGACTGTACAGCTTCCTCCCCCCAAACACTGATGAGGTCCAGCAACTCGCCATTGCTCCATGCTGGGGCTCGCTTGGCGCGTGGAGGCATGGTCACCTGGAAAGATTCACTGATAGCACTCCACGCCACACCGGGCTGAGCAAACAGGAAGGGGATTTTTAAAATTCCTGGGGAATGTAAAGGGTCGGTCACATGGTTGGTTACCTGCAATACTTGCTATTCCTCTCGGAGAGGTGGAGTACATGCAGCGCTGCAACCACGGAGATACAGCGCTGCAAATGCATTGCCAGTGTGGACGGGGAGTGAGTTACAGCGCTGGGGGAGCCTTTACAGCGCTGTAACTCACGAGTGTAGCCAAGGCCTTAGATAGCACCTTCACTAAAGCACTGCACTGGCGCAGCTGCACCACTGCAGTGTTTTCAGTGTAGACCTGCCCTTGATGGGTAAAAAGGTGTGTTTCTCAATCACATTAGCTCAACTGAGTTACTTTAACATGAATGAAAAACACTCTTAGCACTAATTAAGATGGATGCTAAGATGTTTGGCGCTGTGTTAGCTGGCCTCTGCTCCACTGGGCTTTCATTTGATCAGTTTAGCACCTGTTAAAGGCACAGTGTTTTGTCTACAGGACACTTTTAAAATATGTTATTATCCTGCTTTAAATCCTAGTTTAGGCAAGGCCATTGTGACTATGTGGTGTTCTTTTCTTAGCATCACACAGATACATGCCCCAAATAAACCAAAATTAAATCTCTAACTCATTTTATATAGGTTAGTGAACAATCATTAGATGGATCTGAAGTAGTGACATGAAGGAGAAAGTATCTGTGTCCCATTACCAGCTCTTTGAGTCATCTTATTCATTATTTTTGTTGCACAATACTGTTTTTAATGCTATACTGATACAACAGTATTTACATACCAGTCCTCATGTTCCTTTAATGGTTTCCATAACAAGATCTGATCTTCCTCTCACTCCTGTTTTGGCAGGTCTGTGTGCATTAGAATTTTACTCCTAGTTTGTCATTAAGCACATCAAGACAATTTTAGATGTGTTTAAGTTAAAAATTGCGAATGTGCTTTGTTTAAATAGCCTTGCATGGGGTCTCCGTTATAGGCTGAAACCAATTGTGCAGGCACTGAAAACACTTATTTTGAGGGCGGGGGGTAGGAGTTTGTAACTTCAGCTGGCATTTTCAAAGGAGTTTTGCCTTGATGGGCAAAAAAATGTATTTTCAATTGTATCACTTCAATTGAGCTAGTTTAATATTAATTAAAAGCCTTCTTAACACCCATTAAAATGCAGGGTGCTGCCTTGGCTAAGGCTTATGTAGTCACTGCAAAAAAGTGTCAAGATAGCTAACTCAAGATAGCTAGCTTGGGACATGTCTACACATGAAGGTTTTACCAATATAGCTATACCAGTACACTATGCTGGCAAAGCACTATGCAGTTTATACTAGCAAAACTGCATTTTTGCCTGTATATATGTTCCAGTCCCTCAAAATGAAATAAGTTTTACTGGCAAAAGCCCAGTTTTGCTGGTATAGCTAGGTTTACACTAGGGGCTTTTGCTGGCACAACTATGTCGATCATACGTCATGCCCATCACATCCCTGACAAACACAGCTATCCTGACAAAAGTTTATAATGTAGACCTGGCCTTGATGTAAAATCCTAGTGGAGACATGATACTTGGATTGTAAGCCCATTGGAGCGGGGACCATCTTTTTTTTCAGTGTTTGTATAGCGCCTTGCACAATGAAGACCTGGTCTATGACTGGGGCCCTTAAGTGCTATCATAACACAAACAAAAAACTATAATAATGGGAGTTTTACCTCAGTGTGTAGATAGTTGAGGTAAACCCTACTTGGAGATTATAGCGATGACTTCAACTAGCTTCACTGAGGTAGCCTGTGTGCCTTGTCTCCACTACCATTTTACATTGAGATACCTATCTTGATGTAAAAAACACAGTTAATATTTTATTTGTGCAATATTTCTGAAGGTGGCTAGCTAGGGAAAGGGGAAGAAGAAAAGTTTTTTCATTTTGTTCTTCATCTGGTCTTTTACCCAGACACTGGTGAAAGATCTAGCTTTATCTGCTCCCACTTTGTTAGTGGTCAGGTTGTGTGTAATGGCAGACTAACTCAGGAAGTCATGGGTAAAGACAACACACCAGCCAGTGCATGTACACATTTCAAAATACTATCTATACCCCTGTTGTGCCTATACACTAGTGTAATAATTAAGACCATTCTTCTCAATCAACTGGGGCCCAAAAGTAAGGCAAAGACCTAAAAAAGGAACACAACATAAAGAAGGACTTTACAAGTTTTATTTGACATTATTTATTTGGGATCTTATGCAGCCTTGAGCACCAAAATTTCTGGGCTCCTCAGCAAAGTTTTTAAATGAGTACACACAAAATGTCTGAGTCACCTATGTATATATGAATGACTCAAACGCTGTAGGATTTTCTTTACCATACATAACATCGGTTTCATGATTCAGCATTTGTGATGTGAATAATTGATTTTCACACAGGTGAAACAGCACCAGGCTGGCGTGGGAGGAAGGTAAATGTGAGTGTGAAAGGAGAGGGACTGACCGTCCCTCAAGTGGTCAGCTGAAGGGTTGGGGTCCTGAAATACTCTGGCAAGCATTGCTGAGGAGCAGTGCACAGGGGAGAGGGCTGTGTCAGACTGAGTGAGGGAGACAGTCAATATGTCCAGAACAGAAACACATTCAGCCAAGTCCTTCCTGGCAAAGAGGAGCAGGTTTAAACACTGCAAAACTGACTCTCCAGGGAGGGAGGTGTGGGGAGGCTCAGAGGCAAGAGCAAAGCAGGCGCCTCTGGCCTCCTCCCAGTCTCCCTAGCTCAGCTCCTTCCCCGAGCCCGGCTGCGCGTTTGGGGCGGATCCGGGATGAAAGTCCAGATGAGCGCTCAGCCGCTGGGGTAAATAAGGCAGCTAGCCGGCCCGTCCTGCTCAGGTACCAAGCCCCAACGCCAATACGGCATCTCCCCAGGGCGACTTCCTCGCCCTGTTCCCGGACGTTAGGGCATCACGCCGCGCATCTCCTCGGAGCCAGACTCTAGCGGGCTGCGGGACGCATTCAATCCCGTGTAATAACGAGTCTTATTCTTAACCCCCGCGCTGAGCCCCAGTGAATCCGGGCGGGGAGGCCGCCAGCTAGGCCCTGCCCCGGGGGGGAGCAAGGAGTGAGATTAGCGCAAACACAACCCCCCTCCGCCTCCCTAAAGCAGCGGCAGCTGTTCCAGCCAGAGTTGCTGGAAACCTTCCACGCTGCCCAGATTTTGTCTCTTTCTCAGAGGGCCAAACCCTGCTCGCTCCTGTGATATCAGCTAAGCTCCCAGGCACTCCTACGGCACCGCTGCCTGAGCACATGCTAAAGAGACGCTTTGGCCCACGGTGCCCTGAACACGAAGGGCCGTGCTGTGCGAGCAAACACAACCTAACTCCACGGGGAAGAGCTGCCACATACATGCCCGGGGCCACACGGTGCACTAGGAATAATCGCCATTGAGTTTTTGTATGAAAACAGACACTCTGAGTGCGTCTATCTGATGTGTCTGGATTTCCCCTACCGATGTGTAAGGAGCACATGTGTGTATTAAACATCACACACGCAGTCCGTCAGGAGAAATGACAGCTCCGCGCACCTTGGGCTACATTCTGCTCTCCACTCCTCGGGTGTAAATGTGGATTAACTCCAGTTGATTTAATCTGGTTTACAGGGGTGCAAACGAGAGCAGAATGTGCCCCCGTGTCCGGATCCAGGCACGTGTTTGCTTAGCCATGTCTGTGTGTACACAGCGCCGATTCCCCCTGGTGCGGCTCCCTGGGAGCCGCCCGCAGTCTCGGCGGGGATGAGCGCACTGGGTGTCACACGCTCCGCGCCGCCGCCGCCGCTCCGTGCTCGGAGCCCCGTCCCAGCTCCTGGGCTCCGCACTTTCCCCGCAGCCGCCGCCAGCCCGGCAGAGGCAGCGAGCCCGTGAGGTCAGCGTCGGCAGCGCGTCGCAGGGGTGTCTGTGCTGTGGGACGGTCGCTGGGCGGGCGGGCCGGGCAGGCGCAGTGTGGGGCCCGCGGGGGGAGGAGGGTGAGTGGCTCTGTGTCTATGTGTCGCACTGACGGGGGTTACACACCAGGGCAGCCGCCGCCGCCGCACCGGGATCCCTCGCCAGCCGCAGGCCCCGGGCTTCCCCTCCGTCCTCCTTTCCCCAAGTAAACTTCCTGCTCCCGGCCCGGCCGGGAAGGGAGCGGGGCCCGGCCGGACTCTGCCCCCGGCACACACAACAGCTGGAGCTGTCAAAACTTCCTCTCTGCCTCGGCCCCTGCCGCCGCCCGCCCCGCCTCCGCCCCGGGGGCGCCGCCAGGGGGAGGGCGCCGCGTACAATGAAGCGGCGGCCGCCGCCGCAGCCGGGCAGCGCAGGAGCCGGAGCAGCCGCTTGTTCCCGGGGCCTCTGAGCGAGGCGCCCCGCCGCGGGAGTGCCCGAGTATCTCCCCCCCGCCCCCTGGCGAGCCCGCTCCGCGGGGCGGTTATTGTGCGTGAGCCCCTTCCCCCCCTCCTTCCCCCCCGGCCCTCCCGATGCCGCTCCCCCTGCTACCTGCGCTGGTCGGCGGCGGCTGAGGCCAGCGATGCGAGGCGGAGGTGGAGGAGGCGGAGGTGAGGCGGAGAGGCGCATCGGGAGCAGGAGGAGCATCGGGATCCTCATCGCCACCCTCCTCCTCATCCATGTGTCTCTCTCGTCCTGCTGACTAGGATGTCAACGGAGGACAAGAGTCTAGTCGGGGGGGTGGCGGAGCCGCCGCCGCCCCAGCAGCCCCCCGAGCCCGGAGCTCCCCCCCCAGCAGCAGCCACAGACAAAAGACCTAGGGGCCGGCCTCGCAAAGATGGCGCTTCCCCTTTCCAGAGAGCCAGAAAGAAGTAAGTTCGGAGCGTGTGGGAGAGGCAGCGGGGCAGGGGGCAGGGAGAGCTGTCAGCAGAGGCTCGCTCCTCAGCGCCCCCTCCCCTCTGCCCAATGCCATTTTGGGAGGGTCCCGTCTCTTCTCACCTCTTTCTTCTTTCTTTTCCTCCTCTGCCCGTTGCACTCTCCCCTCCTCCCCCACTGCTCTCTCCTTCTTCACCTTTGGCCTCCTTCTTCTCTCCTTCCTTTTCCCTTCTCTCTTCCTTTCCTCCTCCCCCCTTTTTCTCCCCCTTTTCCCAGCCTTGCCCCTGGACCCCTCTCCTCTTTCCCTTTCTTTTGCACCTTCCCTCTGCCCTTCTTGGGTCTCTCTCCTCCTCCAGGGCTCTCGCTTGCCCTCTGTTTCAGCTTGTCCCTTGGTGTCTTCTGGCTTTGGAGTTTTATTTTAAAGAAAAGATTGATCTAGCCCAAATTGAATGACCCTAAAAACATCTCTCTCTACGCAGACACACACGCAGAAGTTTAGACAGCAATTTCCTGCAGCCAAACTAGCCCCGGAGTGTGTTTGAAAGTGGAAGCTGCTTTCTCCCTGGAGCTGTCAAATAGCCTCAGACGGGGTCTGGTGGCCCGGCTAGGGGAGGGTGTAAGGTAGCAGGCACAACAGGAGGGTGGTTGGGAAGATTGTCGTGTTTTGGGTTGTCGTTTGCTGTCGCCGGTTTGCTTCCTTCTCTGGTCCCTGCTGTTCTCACGCTTCAGGCGGAACTGAATGTGCACCGTACACTTTTAGCAAACTAAGGCAGGCTGCCCCTTGTAGCTGCGTCAACTATCAACAGCGGATCTCAGCCAAACCTAGGGAGCGCGTTGGAGTGATCTGCTGCGTCCATATGTGGTGCAGGTGGACTGTGGACTATGTTTGGTTTTAAATGGAAAGTCCCTTTTGTGGCGCGTTTGTGTGCGGGTCAGGAATGCGTTATATCTAACGTCCATGTTCTGCTGTGTGCACTAACAGATACTCGGACAGTGTATGAGTCAATGAGGACCTCATAACTTTGTGCTCATTTTCACGAGGACAGTGTGCTGTACATAATACAGTTTCATGGAATATTACAAAATACTTACCTTTAATAACTAGTGAGAATGTGGTTCAGACGTTGAATGTTGTTAGCACACACACAAATTAATGTGTTAATGGACATACAACAGTTTTTATATTTACATATGTATTACATGCATAGTGCACCAAAAACTGATTCACCAGTTAGGAGCATCACAGATGAACTATAGCAAATAAATATGGCATGTTTTACTTATATTTTTCATAATACTAATGTGTGTGAGGTGTACTAGAGAGACAAGGTGGGTGAAGTAATATCTTTGTCTGGACCAATTTCTGTCTCTCTATTGTGAAGCAGGAGTCCAAAAGGCCTCATTCCCATAGTCACAGAGAGTGCTACTTATGCACCAACTGCACTCAGTTTTGGTTGTTAATGAGAGCCCCTCCTAGGATAAAAGTAGAATAAACCTGTTTGCTACTATTTTTAATTATGTTTATGTTCTAAATGTAATGAACTATAGGCTGTGGACCATGTTGCAGGCTTAAGGTTTTAGTGTTTTATTTTTTAAGGGTCACGGTCAACTTGACATCTAGTCAATTTAAAACAAAAATGTTTTGTTAAAACTAGTTTACTAAATCTTGCCCTGAATCTCCCAGTCAGTTTTTGTATCTTTATAATGAAAGACCTTACACAAACAACAGTGGAAACTCACTGTATATGGGAAACTGTGAAACTGACTATATACAAAATGCTGTTAAGTGTATAAAATAAACTGAACGCATAGAGGAAAATATTTTTGTGTGATCATTCAGTTGTATTGATCTTCTGTGTTATTTGTAATAAGTAAATACATTTTTTTTAGATAAAAGTCGGATTCGTTTTTGGGGTTTTGTTTTCTGTTGCTCACAGTTTACTTTAGAGGCTTTCTAACATTGACTGTCTGGTTTTAGTGTGGCTATGTCTTCTAGTAGCATTTAATTCATGACCCCATCTCTCTTAAATCTTTGCATTTTGTTAAAATAACATGGATTTTTCCCATAGTGGAAGTTTAAAGTGGTTAGCAGTCCTTGCTATTGTTAAGTATCAGGTGTAGCCGTGTTAGTCTGTATCAACAAAAACAACAAGGAGTCTGGTGGCACCTTAAAGACTAACAGATTTATTTGGGCATAAGCTTCCACCGGACTCCTTGTTGTTCTTGCTATTGTTGTTTGTGTGCAGCTCAGTTGTAGACCAGAAGGGACCATCATGATAATCTAGTCTGACCTCCTTCACATGGCAGGCCACAGAACCTCACCCACCCACTGACTCCTGTCACAGACCCGTAACCTCTGCCAGAGTTACTGAAGTCATCAGGGGAATGGATCACTTGATGATTGCCTGTTCTGTTCATTCCCTCTGGGGCACCTGGCATTGGCCACTGTTGGAAGACAGGATATTGGGCTAGATGGACCTTTGGTCTGACTCAGTATGGCCATTCTTATGTTCTCAAATCATGATTTAAAGACTTCAGTCCTTGCATTCAGTACTGATTCATCTGCTTTACCCTTATATTTGAATACTACTTCCAGTTTTATTTGTACATATAACATCTAGTTACATATGAAGCACTTGAGTTACTTTTACAAAAATAGTTTTATAATGAAACCCTGAATGCTGCCTACTTATGCCTTTATGTCTATGTAGCTACAGAATATTAAAAAATGAACTAATTTAATTAAATCATTTTTAAAATACCACAATTTGTGGAAAAGCTAATTTCTTCCATGCCAGTTTAAGATCATCTGTATACTTTGTGAAAAGTGAAGTCTAAGTGTAATTTCTTTCTCAATTATATTTCTAGTGTTAAAGGGAGACTGCCAGTCAGTTTTAAGGTGAAATCAAGATGATTTTTTATTTAAAAAAACATTTTCTAAATCTTACAAAAATATAAATATATATAAAATGTGTACCAGTGCATGAGAGCCAGAAGATGAAACTAGCTAGAGACAAAAGTGAAACTGTTTTTCATTAGCTTTATGTAATTCACATGAATTGTGTGAGTGAAATACAAAAAGTAAACAGACAGTTCGTTTTGTTTTTCCTCCACAATTTTACTATTACTATTTTTATAATTTAATATTTTAATATTACCAGTATGTGACTTGATGCTGCAAACTGATCCTTGCAAGAGGACTTCAGTGTGAGTATGGAAAGTTTTCCTGATTGTGGCCAAAAGTGTTACAGTAACACAAGGAATCAACATTTCTAAAAATAGGATTTTGGTGTTGGTAATAGTTTTGCCCCAGTGCATCACTGATCAGATGAAGACTGGACTGTTTTTAATCACCAGTGCTTCTGGAAAGAGCAGTTTCTTTTAAATTATACTGTTTCAATGTTTAAACCAGTCTAATATCTTTCAATGTTAAAATTAGCTATGCAGATGAAAAACAAACATTGAATGAAAATAAAGTTTCCATTTTTTGTATGATTGCTAAGCAATGTCTTCCTCTTCTCTCCCGTGCTTTCCAGTTGGATTAATATGTCTCTTGTAAATCAGATAATAGAGCATATGTCTGAGCACGTTCTGTACCATAATCACATGTCTAAGTCACTGTTAGCCAATCAGATTGTTCAACCACTTTATCCCATTATGGAAAATGTTCCATTGGATATTCAGTCTAAGTAATGATCTAAATAAGAGCACTACATTAAAACAGCATAGCCAAAGTAAAAGGATTTATGAGTTAAAGGCGCTGCCTTTAAAGAACAATATTTGAAAAATACTCAATTAGTATTATTTCACCTCCTTGTTGACCATGGTTTCAAATGGATGATTGAGTTAAGACAGTTTTTCTTTTTCCTGTATAGGGTTTGCTCCCGTGAGATGCTCAGAACCCTCAACTCTTCACAAATGTAGGCCCTTTATTTTTATGGGAGCACAGAAATTGCCATACTAGTAGAGATTTACACAGTTCTATCTAAACTGGCATCCTGCCTCTGGCAGCAGCACAACCTGATGTGTCATAAAAAGGCTAAAAATCCTCATAGTGCACCTAGGCGTTGTGCCATGTTCTGCATAAGAAACATAGGAAGTTGCTTGTAGGTGATGAAGAAGGAATTGGTATACACTGTGAAGGATGGACTCATCAGTTTTCAGTACCTTGAGAGTTTCTGCCTGTAGAGAAGTATGTCAGAATAGCTTTTCTGATGATGTCATCTGAGGATGTGGCAGAATTGAATGTATAGTTATGTGAATAATATTTCCTGGGGACTATATCTTAGGTGAATAGTTATTTATTATTATCTGTGTAAGTGGCAAAAAACTTCATTGATGAACTGTTAAGGTTGCCTGGTGACAGCTTGTACCCTTTTCCAGAACATCAAGTTCAGTGAAACCAAACGTCTGAAAATCAGGGAATACAGAATTAAGATAAATGCCCATTCAACCTTGACTCCGCCCCCCCGATGTTGGCAGTTGCCACTGGAAATTATCTGCATGCATTCCAGCTGCATTCATGTTGTTAGGTGTAGCTGTATTGAATGGTGGAGGAATAAATTGGAGTAGCATGGAAGAGTTGCATTTATGATATGAGAGATCCGGGTCTAAGTCCCCCCATGTGTGCGATCGAAGGAAGGAGATGTATGTGCACCTTGAGGAGCCGATCTGCATCATTTCAATACGGAATTGTGTAGGTTATAATCAGTAGCAGGGCACTGGGTCTTCTTGCCATGGCTAGTGTCAGTAGTGAGGTGGGACATGAGAGCAGTCTGCGGATTTAATGATGGATACGAGAAAGTATAGGTTTAAGTGGTATCCTGTGTGTTTAATTTCATAAGTGTGGTATTCTGTCAGGTGAGTAGGCTCAGTGTTTGAGTGTAGGGCAAGTGCAGGTAATGCTTGTTCATTACAGTGAAAAGGCAGAGTGTGAGTATGGGCATATTGGAGCATTGCTCAAAGAGGATGAGTTAAGGTTGTGTGGGCGTTTGTT